TAGAGATCGGTCAGTTCGGTCCAATCAACGACGCGATAATACAACGGATATACATATAATAAGGTATCGTCAACGTTTCTGGTATAAAATATCATCTCACTGATTGCAGCTCCAAGTTTTTAATTCACTAGCTATGAAGACGTCTGTCAATACGGAACCTAGTGGGTTTAGCTTACTATTTAGAAAACTACTTCACAGAGCGCATATGATATGCTCCAGTAAGAAATTGGAAGTTTTGAATCGTTGAAAGATGTCCAGAAGACAAAAGTCGTCTACATTTATCAACGGTTACGATAAAACGAAAAGCAGATTTAATTCCCTCATTATCTTAGTTGCTAACCATGTTGCTACTTTTCCTCGAGAATTACATTGTGTGTGCATTTGTGACAATTTGTTACTATTTGTATTAACCTTCCTTAGACATACCGTTACGTTTTACCACTACTACACTGTGACTAATTCTATTCATCTTAACCACTGACCTACATTCTGTTTTCCTCTAGTGGATTAAAGTTTATTAAATTATCATTTTGACTATCTGAAATAGTCTAGTTTAGCAGACCTGTATTGATACTAGGTGATGGATGATTGAAGATGAAATGGAAATTTGGACCGCAGTTGAAGTCGAACCAGCGACCACTGGGTATGTTAAATTGTCGATAAAAGAACCATGATTTGATATTCTATGTTTTAAGCAGTTGACAGGATACCGTCGAAATAAAATGGATTTGTGTTATCCTTCTCCGAATTGTCCTTGCTCTTCTCGTAATCAAAAACTTGTCTGGTCCAACAGTTTTACGGTTGTAGTGTAGTCTTGCTTATGGTAAGATATCGTGTTCCATATTGTTTACGATACACTACTCACTTTTACTTATAATGCCTTCTAACTTTTTTTCTGAGTTTCTCATTCATGCATAGGCGATTACTCACCACTTCAAACATTGTCGCATTATCCATATAATTGCTGTGTAAAACGTATATTGACTGTGAGGTAGTGGAATTCCGCGTATTCGTGTTGAACTGATTGACTCTCGGTTGACACTGTTCCTTTTTGTAGAATGTATCAATTTAATCGTTCATGTTTATCCATTCTTTTATTATGACTGCCATTTTCATGACAACTTTTAAGCACTAAACCAACTAGTGTGTCGTTGTGTATCCGCCTTAGTATGTATGATTATGTTCTCATTGTGTATCTACACTTTTTTTTTAAATTCATCACTTGTACTCTACTGAATTAGTATCACTATTGTTTTGCAGTTTGGTATCATTACGGATTCAAGCCTCGCTTGACCTACCAAGTTTTAGGCAGATAGATAGTGTCACTAACCCTTACACAGTAGGTGTGGCTCATTGCCTACAACAGGAATGAGCACAAGGTGGCCGAGTGAATACGTGCAGTTCAGTAATCAATAAACTACATAATTTTCGTAATGTTGGTCAAATTTCTGGTTAAAATGGCTCAAGGATCTTTTATTCTTGGTAGTCAGTATGTGTCTAGTTAAAGTAATATAACGCCATATAACTACTTTTTGTTTCATCTTTGTGCAGCGGTATGAACAACTCTAAGATCGGTCGATCGATGCTTACAAGACAATGGGAGCTGTTGCTAAACACATCCCGTATGATTCAGTTTTTCGCTCTTTTGCGAGATAAGAATACATATATATCGGTGTTATTGCAATCAGTTTCCGTGTACATATTATTTATTTATTATATACCTCAGTACTTCATCTTCAACTCTGGTGGTAATAATTTTTAGAAAACGAATGACTTACTTTGCCTGCTTACACCTGCTTAGATCAGTTTCAATGAAAACTGACACAATACGACATGCTTGTTTATAGTTTTTCTACTAAGTGAAAACTGAATTATGCTATGTGTATTAGTCAAAGTGTGTCTGTTGAAGAATGTTATAAGTGTGATTTATCTCGGCGTATGTTTTTCTTCGGACCTCTCCTGGTCCTCTCATATCTCACTAATTTCCAAAAGAATCTGCCGAACTTACTATCTTAGGAAGCTGAGATTATCTGGTATAACTCAGCCCCTTATTTTATATTTTATAAACTCCTGCATCTTGCCTATTCTCCTCTGTTATTCCCCTTTTTTATTCTTTCCTGGCTTGCTGGAAAAAGACTGCTAGACTGCATTGAACTTTGGAGATTGTCAGCAGAAGTATTGGTGTACCTTTAAACCGTCTAATTGTGGAACTGTTATAGACAAACATCTAAGCTCATATTAAAGTATGGTAAGAGTTATTTCACTAGAAGACCAGCATTCTCTTCGCCCAAAGCTCTATACATGTCAGTCCTCAGGCAAGACGAGAAGCAAATATATAAGACTGTATGCATGTACTACTGAATATAAAAACTACAATATCGTATTTAACTCGTCTCCTGTGCAATGATGAAAGTGTTAGAAATGAACCAACTGATCAAGTTTTCTATCTGGAAGTTTGTGGTGATTTATTAATTGATTTCAGGTTGCAATTCATCATGGATTAACATCATCTGGAGAAACATTGCAAACCTAAGAGCACTGGACAGCCGTTTCGCCCTGCCATGAGACTCCTCAGCAGTGTTCACTCGTGACCCCGTCACGGATCGAACCCAGGACCTCCAGGTTCCGTGACCAGGACGTTACCATCGAGTCCACATTTCCTACTACTGTCAGTTCGTGATATAGCGTGACCTCCATCCACTGTCGTCTTTGAGTAACTGTCCTCATGTTCGACTTGGTTAACTCCACCAGTCACGACTTCTCGTTGAAACTTCGGAAATCACCTCTCGAAGCTAGTCACTAATGAGCGCTGGACTAATTCAATTTGGGGGTTTGTTGGGATTTATTAATTGATTTCAGGCTGGAATTCATCATGAACTGACGTAAGCTGGAGGAACATTGTAAACCTGAGAGCATTGGACAGCTGTTTCGTTTTAGTATGGAACTCCTTATCAGTGCAGTAGATTCCAACCTGTAATCAGGTTTTGTTTCTTAAAGCAAATAAAATAAAGATAGCACAGCTTGCTATTATTTATGTGTTACGAATCTAGTTGCTTATGTGGGGTTGTCTACCCAAGTTAACTCTGCATTTTCAAGATGGAGTACATATTCTTATCTGTCATATGTAATTTCTACTTATTTCATTTTATTATGTGTGCATATACAATTGTCTCTTTTCAACGACTTCATTATCAGGCTGTTCATTCGCATTTATACTCGGTAAAATGACAGATGATTGCACTAAAAAGTTGTTCAGTCAATATGCAAAATATACAATAGGTGGGGGGCTTTATTCAAGTGGAAGAAATATAAAATGGGTCACTGAATAAGGAACGAATTGAGAACAAGTGGTGAGATAAGAGATACGTGCTGTCGAAGAATTGTAAAACGCTTTCATCGTCTTTCTAGACGACATCATCAGCTCTAACTTCAGTATGAAGTGAACTGTCAATATCTCTCCGTTAGTGATTTGGTAGTTTGCCCTGACGAAGTGATCGGTTGTTTCCTTTGCTTGTTGTGTCATTGTATAGGTTTTCCTTTTAGCTGTCCCTCTGCCTGACCTCTGGCCTTTCTGTCGTTCATCATCTTTCTTCTTGGTTGATAGGTTGGGTCTATATCTACGCATCTGTTAGTTGCTGACGGACCTCAATACCAAGCTTCTAGGAATTCTCTGATATTTTTGTGTTTCCTCTGTCCAAAATTTCTACATTGTCGAGATTGAATTCATGTCCATAATTATCCACATGTGTTGGAATGAGTGATGAAATGACGTGACGTTTAATAGTCAATTGGTGTTCATGTAGACGAAGGTGAAGGGGGTGACCACTTTGTCCAATGTAGTGTTGACTACAGTTATTGCAGTTGATTTTGTAAATGGTATTCGGTTTGTCTTCTTTGGTTGTTGCAACCTTCGGTCTGCATGATAGCGTTTAGAGGGAATTTGTTGATTTATGAGCCACACGAATTCCAAGTGGTTTCAGTAATCTTGTCATGATTTCTGATATATTCGGTATATGTTATGGTAGGATGATTCGTTTATTGGCTGAAATCGTTTCCCTTTGCTTGCCTTTGGTAAGCCAAACCGGGTAATGATCAGCTACACGTTTTCGGAGGGCCCGCTAACAACGTTCAATATAGTCAGCTCCACAGGAGCATGTGAACTTGTAGATACACATAGATGTGAACATAATTGGAAGCCTATCCTCCATGCACTGACGAATCAGACGGCGGCTGGAGAATATCAGTCTCAGTCTAGCGGCATAGAAGCTTCTGTTGATACACCTTGACAGATGGTTTTCAGCACTTTGGCTGTGGTTTACCCTTTGAACTCTAGATTCATGGTTAAGATTTTCTTAACTGTAATGGGATGAGGAGTGATTCGTTTCTTCAGATTCTTATCAATAAATCTTTTAAGGTATCCGTTATTAGATAGTATTGTTCTAAGAGTTTCGGTTTCAACATCCACCTTGTCTTCTGAACATATTTTATAGATTCTGGAGCACAGCGAGTGAATGAGACCTCTTTTACAACTAAGAGATACCCAACTATTAAAGTTAATGAACAATTGTCTCTGTCCAATTGTTGCTAAAGATTCTGTACAGTACTCCCGAAATGTATATTCCAGAATAAACCCATTATTGTTATGTTATATGAAAACGCGTGATATTTAAGCAACGGAAAATAACAAAAATCTAAGCAATAGTCTGTAGATAAGGCACCTCCATGTATGAATTTGAAAGAGTCTTGCTGCTGCTACGCGAGAGATGCTTTAGTTCTATAACTGCTACATAATAGCAGTTCTATACCACTGGTTTTATTATTTTACATTCCTTTTTCGAACCAATAATTTTTAATAATCTTGAAACCATAATAATGGATAACTATGGGAGATATTTTTCATTGAATATTCGTTCATATAACTTAATCAAAAATGCAATATGTAGTATTTCACCTATAATTCACTGATACATATCCCCTTCATTATTCTTTGTTTTGTTAAGGAAATAGATGGAGCTGCTCTTCTGTGCCTTGAACAACACGACCTAATGCATGTACTAGGCATGAAATTAGGTCCTGCTGTGAAGGTGTACACTGCAATTCAAGCCTTACGTAAAAGTCTTCTTGCTACACCGATTTCAGAACTTGGCTCAGAACATACAAATGCTGTTGCCGCAGCTGTATCATGCTTTACTAGCAGTTTATCATCACAGATTGGTGTCAGTTCATCTGTGACCAGTGATTCACAGTGTATTGTAAACGGATCCAGTTTGGATACTCTATCATCTAATACTGGATGAAGCATTTTTAATTTATATACCCCGAAAATTTCTCAATATTGGATTTGCTGTTTTAAAATGGCTGAAATTCATCTACTCTACATTCCCGTATTCATACTGCATATTCGAAGTTCACTTTAGTTTCTCAACAACAACAAAAAGAGGAGTAGGTTAGGATTGATCATCGATTAACTGGTTTTCATGCCCTGCTTTCTTTCGCTTCGATGTGTGTTCTAAGAAAGGAATGCATTATCCATGTGTAGTGATATATATATATATATATATATATATATATATATATATATATATAAGTCTGCGGATCCTCTCTCTTTATATGTGTGTTTAATTCCATATAAACTCACAACCCCAGAAATCTGTTATCTGTAATTGATATGTATTCATACATTGTTATGTAAGTTATCATCCCTATAATAATAATAATAATTATTATTATTGTTACCGACAAACATTTGAGTATATAGTGCCTTGAATTGTCCAAAGTAATCATGGAGATCTACAATTGGTCATTGAAAGAGAAAGACTATTTTGTTTGAAACTTCCTTCTTTCTTTCATTTCTCCTCCTATTTATATCTTGCTGTATAATCGAGATAGATGTATGGTGACAACAATCTTAATTACTCGATTTTTATTGTCATTATATCACGTGTATCTTTATTGTCAATCTTATTTTCATGACTAGGGAGGAAAGGGGAACATTACTGCACATTTTGTATAACTTTTAAATCCCAATGTTATATATACAGCTTTTTGTGATCACTTCTATCAGTATCGTTCTTTTTTAAGCTTACGACGATGAGCTTTATTTATTGTTTCCCGAAAAGTGACACTATCCTATTTTGAGTCATTTCTACTTTGAACTCCACGGTGTAACTGTCTAACATATTTAAACAAGTTCAGTTGACAAAATTATGCATTGTTTCCTACTTGTAGTCTCCTTCTTGTAGCGCTATTTTCGACGAATATTATTTTCAGTGAATCTCTGAGCCTTATGTGCCTGCTTTTTTTTCTACAATGAGCTTAATCGAGGACAGAATTTTTTTTTATTTATTTGTAGAGTCTTATCGTCATCCTTTTTCTTGTTTTTAACAGTTTTACGTCACTATCTCATCATGTGTTTCAAGTGCTAAGCGAGAATCCTGTTTGTTTTGCGATGATTTTCAATTACACCCGCTACCCATCCCGCTTTTTTATTCCTTGGATAATAAAATACATGTAAAATAGAAGAGTAAACTTAAAAACTTAACTACAACCATATAAATTAAACACAAATATGGAATGATGAAGTGTATTTGTGCAATTACTCAGGCCAGTACATTTATGCATTCCTTTTTATTTTTCATAACTTATACATAAAAATACCATATACACTAGATAATAGTAAAAATTAGACTCTTTTAGCCACCTCTCTGTATTTTTAATGCTCTCATTTACTATTACCGATACTACAACTGATCAGCACGATTCCTTTTTCTGTCCAACAAAGCCAATCTAACTAACTAGCTAAATATTATTGCGCATCTTTCAAACTGTTTAAATTATGTCTTCATAATCATAAAATATGGGCTTTGGAATGTAATTGCTTCTGTTTTGCCTTTTTGTCAGTTGAGTTGGATGGACAAAGTTGTGAGTTTGAATGTGAACTGTATATGATTGCTTAGATATATAATGATTATAGCATAAACAATCACTTCACTTATCTCGAGTTTTCAGTGTTGTCTAAAGTGAGCGTAACGTCACATGTAAAAAGATGTCTAGTACTCTCATCAAGATATGACGCCAACTTATGTAGTCACTGACCGTCTGTCTGACAGACAACTCAATTTGCCACCCTACACAGTAGCATACAAGGAACAGATGGATAGAAAAAGAGTGATATCAAAGTAGAAGTTATGTGAGAGAATAGACAATCTGAAGATGACGGTTAGTGTGAATATTCAAGCTTCAGATGTCAAGAAGTGAGTACATCGCACCATTGTAACCGATTTTCAGCCATGTCACCAACGTCTAGATTGATCAGTACACTGCTTGACCGAGAGAATTCCTACATCCTGAGCACATGAATCACTACTGAATGACAACAGAACCGGAAAATGTAAAGGAGTATTCTTACTTCTTAGCTCCAGCTTACAACCATGCTGCTTGGCCTAAATAAAGAGGATTGGGGTTTCTACATGTGCCCCACTTGTTGGTCATCGGATCTCTAGACTACTACCACAAAAACTCTTCACTTTGCACACCTAGTTTGTTAGTTTTATTCACAGTACTGCTCGCCTTTTACAGTAGTGTATTCTAAGTGAGGTTTTCTCACATGATACAATTTTGTTGATGTGCATGTGGAGAGAGTGGTATTAAAATATACTTGTAGATTGTTCCTGTGTTTCGGTTTATATTTTACCTTATCTTAGGAGGGGGGTAACTATGATCCTCGTATGGGACTTGATGCCCCGTCATAGTTAAATGCCAGGGTGTCCATGTGAAGAAGCTCTACTCAGCGCGGTTAAGTGGTGAGGGTGTTTGAGCTGCTAGCCAGGAAATCCAGAGATGGTATGTGCACTGGCGATTATTAGTTCAGCCTAGCTACGCAACGACGGTGAGCCTCCTTGTGACTCCGCCGGATATCAACTAGTACTTCGTTTCTCTGTAACCTTACCCTCTTGCAGGTATCCTGGGATAAGCTTCTGTGTGTCAAATGTTGGTGAGGAGAGGGTAATCTGGGAAGGTGAACTAACTCGTTTTCTACAAGATTGTGAAGACCCAGCCAGATGTATTCGACGCACATCTACCCATGGGAAGATGAGTACGATCAAACGATCCTATTACCAGGTGAATATGGACGCTTTGAATCCTCGACAGTGCGGGGTTTGGATTCACTAATAAGTTAATGGGAGCGTTAGCGCTTTGGTACGAGTGTTTGTCTTCATGAGGTTGCGTTGCTGTGGCTATTTCCTGCTCGGTGAGAGGACCGATCCCCCAGGTGTTTCGATAGTAACGTCTAAACAGATGAGGTTCGGCCTGGAACTGGGAGCTGAACCAAGAGTTGGAGTGAAGCTCTTCCTGTGCTTGAGTCTGTTTTCCTCCTCGTCTGAAGTCTCCTAATGCTTGATAGGTTGTTATATTTCTGTGCCAATGGTATGACGAGACACACCATTATTCGATCTATTCTCTGTCTTTTGTATGCACATCTAAATTCGTTTCGGTCTGTTATGAAATTTATTAGAAGGATAGTGATTAATTGAAAGTTTTTGGATGAGTAATCAGTGTTGTTACTTTATGCTTCCCCTACTTATTTAAACCCATGCACTGACCATAGTCATCCATTGACAATCCTTACTGGCAAGCTGTTTAGTTTTGTTGATACCTAGTCGGTTGTATTGTGAGTTCTTTACAATATCCTACCAGATATTATTGGTACGGATTTTAATTTGACCACTGGGAAGGTAACTGATACATAATAAAACTCTAGTGTAGGAACACGGTAGTGATCAAATCTAATCTTGGTTTCCTTGAACTCTTGGTTATTTGGATTAGAAACACCATACTGAAGTATGAGATAACTCAGCCTAACGTTTGTTTTTCACTCACCTGAAACTGACTAGCATTGTTTATGAGTTTCACGGTTTTTTATTCACATGCAAACCAACCTGGATTATGCTATGTAACAAGTGAACATGGAAGTTTGTCGTCAAACAAGAGAATAAAACATGGCTAGCAAAAACAGTAGCATTAAGTGGAGGGATCTTTATGACTAACGGTACTGTAGATATAAAGATGATGATCTCTGTTAGAAATTTCAAAGGTACAAGTGTTGATCGAGACCACTGTGTGAGAAAGAAAAAGCGAATACTAACACATTGTAATCCGCTCCGACCTAAAGGTAGGTAAAATAAGTAACTAGACATCACTTCAACTAGTAGTATCCTGTGGCTATTTAGGGTTAAACATCGATATTGTAAAAAGGGATGTGAATTCTTAGATTAGTGGATGAGCATGTTTTTTCAATCCTTTTTAATGAAGATGGATTTCCACCTGAAATTTCTAGTACCACTGTCTGAAAATACTTGACACAGGAATTAGCCAATCGTGATACAGAAAACTGATACTTTCCACGGACTACTGCTTTGCTCCTCGACCTGATTATTTAAGTATATAACATCTCTACTAGTCTTTGAAAGCTTTACGAGGATATTTTAAGGAATAACGATCATTTAAAACTCTATAATTAACAACTAGTTTGTTTTTAAAAAATAGCTGGCGTAAACTTTAAAAACAGGATAATTTGCCGTTCTTTTGGCTCTTCAGGAAACTAAAACATATGAAGTCTACGAAGTCTAGCTAGTTTTTCTGAAACTAATTAGTATTCCAAAGACAAGTAGTAAGAATAAAGTGTACGATCTATTCCTTAAGGTTTCAAACAAGTACCAGTTATTTCAAGTTGACATTTACCACAGAATGACGTCAGGTGGAGAGTCGTTGGAAACTTGGGGTCACTGGTCGAGTATTTCGTCTTAGTATGGGACTCCGTGGGGTTGCCAAGGACTGAACTCAGAACTTTCAAGTTCCGCTGCTAACGCGTTACCATTGAGTCACCAGAACGGAATCTAATGACTCACATTTTCCTACTTTGTCAATTTGTGATAATGCTCAACCCTCATCACTTTCGACTTGGTTTGCCCCATCGGTCATGACTTCTCATTAGGACTTCGGGAAATCTCATCTCGAAGAGTGGTACTAGTCAGCACTGAATAGTGATTAAGTTTGAAAGTTTGTGGGGATTTATTGATTCCAAGTTGGTATTCATCACGGATAGGCATCAGTTGGAGAACCATGGAAAACCTGAGTGCACTGAACAGGATCATGTGGTGACTCCTTTTAGCCATCCAAAGCTGAATTGCCTTGTTGTTATATTACATGTTTGAAGAGATGAATGACTAGACGCTGTGGATCAAATTTTTGTGTTTCCTGGTACTCATCATCCGCCAAGATACACAGTTACACTCGC